TGTTTGTTATATTTTAGGTTTTCAAGATCTTGTCCAAATGTCCAAATGTCGTAAATGTAGTCATGTCACAGACCAGTGTTACAGACTATGGGCTAAAAGGGTAACATATCTGACYTATATTACAGACTGTGCGGTGGGCTTAAAGAGTAATTCCTKTTTGACCTGGGATTATAAGTAACTGCGAAGTTAACAAATTATGCAGGGTCAACACTTAGTCTAATACCGTGTAATATATTTAATTGCCTGTAAATTATCTATCTGCATGTGTTGTAACATGACAATAATTATTCAGGGGTGTAATTATCAGCTGTCAAGAATTCCAGCACAAGTTAATTTTCTTTTATTTTTTAAATATTGACAAATTTGCTCATGGTTTTTACTTTCTTCTACCTAATTTTATGTAATGATATTTTATTTCTTGACATTTTAGGCTTTTTTCCAAAGGAGGAGGGTCCAAGCTTTCTGTGTTAGATCTTTCTGGTTGTAAACTCATTACAGACAAGACTCTAGCAAGACTGTCTGAGGCTCTGGGTCAGTTTACTGTTGATACTGACATTGAAGAAGAAAACACACTGACATGTGGCTGTATGGTAGAGCAGTCTCGGGCATCTAGAACTGCTAGGTGTTCTCTGAGGTACCTTAGCTTGTCTGGTTGTTATCAGATTACAGATCAGGGTTTGAGGTATGTAGAAGACTGTCCGAACATGAMTAATAATACATGTAGCTTCAATAAAGGCATCAAGAATCTAATGCTATTTCATCAAATCAACTTGAAAAGCTTGAATGATTGTATGTCTCAATTCATGTCCTGAATGTCCCTTGCAGTCAATCTAATTCAAGAAAGTCGATATTGGATATAATTTTGAATTTGCTGTAGTCATGTGACATATTTTTTACTTTATTTACAGTAAGTCAGAACTATCATTTTTTGTCTACTAGATGGGGCTGTATTGGTCATTTTCGCCCATTCCCATGAGATTCAAATGATAAAAGACCAGCGGCCATGTTGGAGGAATGAACAATAGATACTATTGAGAAATCCTTTGTTAAAGTTCCTCCAAGATGGCCGCTGTGACGTAACCTGCAAATGAAGAATTGCATTCTTCACACAGTACTCATCCTAGTTAATAGTTAACTTGCAATGCRATTCATTTGTTGTTTATTCCTCAGCTAATATCAATTCATCCATGGATATCCATTTTTTCATTTCAACTTTTTCATTTGATAGTTATCATGATATATTCTTCAGATATTTAGCCAGTAATGGTGGTCTACCAAGCCTTCAGTATCTTGACCTTTCTGGTTGTCTCAATGTCACAGCTCAAGGTCTCATTGAACTAGTGTCTGTCTGTCCATCCCTGGATCATGCGCAGTTCTTTTACTGTGATAATATATATGAAGGACCATATCAAGACACTGCAAGTGGCTGTCAGAATTTGGAGTGCACATATAGAGTGTGTTGCCGTCTGGGATAAGTCTCATGAGACWACAATATTATGGATGGGAAATCRTCCTTGAAAAAGTTGCTTCAATTTCCAGCTGTTTGTATTATAGTTAATACTTGTGTTGTAACTGATTCGTTGTAACTGATTCGTTGATATTATATTGTTATAATGTTCTTTTTTTAAATGCATCCAATGCTGTTTAAAGACCCTTTGGGTTGAGAATAGAATTACCCTAATCAGATGCAACCATTTTTCAAATGGTCTGTAACTGGTGCACACATATAGATTTACAAAAGATACGAAGTTGCCAAAGGCTATGATTGGTCACTTTTTATACCAAATATAATATTGTAGTTAAAAAATTGTTGTACAAATTYTAAAAAGTTATAGAATGGTAATAATTATAGATTCAAACATATTTAGTGGATGGCACAGCATTATCTGATAATTGCAATAGAGTGCTGATGAATGTCTCATGATCTGGACATTTAGTCAATAAGATAAAATTGAAATAAAATGAAACCATGATTTTTGCTTACAATGTATTAATCTGAAAAAAGGCTCTATGTAGACTGATAACATATAGCCTGGGACTTTCGCCCAAACAGGAATTCCTTACTAKGGACTTTTGGGGATGGTGTTTAGGTAGCATGGAACCCAGGCACCTTCTCAGCAGCACAAAGCCCAAAAGAATGTGTGAAAACMACTTTGAAGACATCTTATTCCAGTGTTGCATGAACACTGATAGGATTAACTGTACATGTAGTTTAGTAGGTAGTTGCCACACTTAGGCTTAGTGCTGTAAGTAATATTATGTAATCATTTATTAGAATATTTTATCCTTTAGAATTTATATGGCGTATCACATGTTAAATCCTACCAACCTTTCACAATGACATTGTATTACCATACCTATCTATTAGTTTTTTTTCAATAAGTACAAAMGAATTAGAGAAGTGAGGAAATAATTGCACCCTTTAGCATACTAAGTGATGGAGTTATGATTTATAAATAGGTTTGATATGATTAAGTATACTTGATTTAATGAAAGACCAATATTTCATAAATAATATAATGGTTCCTAAGAGAATCTTGTTTTTAGTGATCATTAGTTTTTGATGTTCCTGAAATAATATTTAAACCAACTGCAGACCTATAATTCAAACAGTTAACAAGGTATTTTTTGTCTTTCCTGTACATACAGTATGAACATTTCRAATGCATCATTTTGAAAGTTCTAAAAATTTAAACCTCTTATTTTGTATGTATACAACAAGATTTTGTTAAGTCAAGTCAAAGTATTTGTGAATATTTATCAATTTATTTAGAAAAATATAAAAACGTGTAGTGATTGATAAAGCCACAGATTTGCTCAAATTGGAACAATTTGGCCATTGTGTGGAGTGCGCAATTATAGAGACTGCATGTTCTAGTGGAGTGTTAGGTAATATAGACTGGTATACATTATTTCATGGACGTACTCTTTAAGCATATAAGGTATTATATCAGTACTGTTTTTGACTAACTTGAAAGAAGACAATGTCTTAATGCAGAACACACTGATTAAATCAARGACAAGTTGTCATTTTTGACAAATATCACATGATTTTAAAAATTAACAACTTAAGGCTCCATTGTTTAAAACATGCACCTGCATGGAATGAAAAAAAGCAAGGAAACAATTTACAGAGTTTTGATGGATTCCTTTTTTTTCAAGCTTCCAAATTAGAACTTGGTTATATTTTATGTGTAGAATAATTATAAATAAATGATTAAAATGTCGACATACTCAGTCAAATATGAAAAGAAAAATTAAAAAAAGAAACCAAAATAAGGGTCTGCTTATCTATCAGAATTATTATAGCTCATGACATCATTGTACGAATTCTACAGGGGAGATAATGGGAATCTGGTTCTACTGTACCCCTTTGGGTCAAATTTTGCACAAAATTGTTTACATTCCATATGGGAATATTCTAGAGAGGCTTTGTGAGCTCAAAAACTATAGAACAATCGATTATTTTATTTCTATTTTTAACTAGAGTTACTTACAATTAAGTTAGGATTTATTTTCATCCCATAAATTCATCATTAAAGTTTCCCAATTTTTCTTCCTTATGTTTCAAAAATCATTTTCAGTATTTGCTTATTGCTGACAAAATTATCCAAACAGAATATTTTCCTTCAATTTTTCACATTGGTTCATTTCCTGTTTGTTAAAGGCTTTTCATTTCTATTGTATTCTCTTATAGTGAATTATGAACAAAGAGAAAACAGTTGTAGCTTTGAAGTAATTAATTGCATCTCAGCAGGATTTTGGTCCTAAAATCTGCTGTTTTGTGTGTCAACATAACGTGTTGTCTATAATAAGATTCAGTCTCAATGTAAACAATGAACCAATAGACCTGATTTCACTAGACAAGTCAATTAAACTAGACATTAGAAACATCGATAGAACTCCTCAGCCATGCAATTTACATATCACAAATTTTTTTGCAAAAGTTTGAAAGATTTGACAAAATATTTCAAATATTATAGATATGGCCAATGAAAATTAATTCACTTGGACACGGGAGACAATAACATAATCCTTTCCATTAGATATTACATAACTTGAGATATATACCAGTATTTTCTCTTCATCAGGGATATCATCAAAGATTAGTTATCCTTAATAATATTTTTCCCTCTTATCACTTTATTAAATTGTTGAAACTGTTGCCTCTGTCACAGGTCTAGTCGTCGTGGGAGGTACGGGTTTATTCAGCTGCAAGCGCAAGTAAAACCGATTGAAATTTTTACCTTGACTATCTAAATATTGGGTGTTTTATATTTTGTCTGGCTTGAAAGTTAGGCGTCTGCTGTTAATACTACGAAATACCTAAAAAAAGAAACTTATATCATAGCACATCGTCAGGCAAGCGAAAACCACTTGGATGTTTGTCATATATTATAAATAAGATGCTTATACTTCCATGATACACAAGTTTGAGTTCAAAACCACAGTTTATCCGTATAATACTAGTACGTGCTGATCAAATAAAACACTACGAACAGATTTATATAGCTAAATTTTTATTACATCGGACTGATCTGTCATATATTAATTATAATTACATTCTCTTCACTCTCGTAATTTGTACTTGTTTGGGGATTTCAAAACTGTGCAATTATTGCCATAAGAAGTATCTTAGCTAAAAACCCTTGAATCCGTTGGTTTTAAAAAATATAATTCGATTCCTTTACATATTTATAAAACACATTTCCCTAAACTAGACATCTGTACAAAAGTAGATAAATTTTCACACTATACATTTAAATATCTTCCACGTGCATTTGACACATTTCTAGTGGGGCGAAAATAGATGCATGTATCTAACTTCGCCAGTATATTGAATTGCAAAGTACGGATGTATATTGTGCAGAAATACTATGATCTTTCCAATGAGTATTTTAAGAAATAAAAACTAAAATACCATCGTGCTAAAAATTCAATGTTTTCCTATCTTCCTACAATCTTTGGTAAAACAGTTCTTGTATTTAATGATCCTGAGTCTGGTAGTCCGTCGTCGGTGATTTCAATAGGTTTTCTTGGTTTTGTTTTTCCCGAAGAAGGACCAGTTGGTGGAAGTTTTCCTACGGCTGAGCGTCGCTTTTCAGCAGAGGTGATCGTGTTGTTGTTAGGTTCGGGAGCTCTTGGCAACCTTCGTCGAAGCCATGGATGTCTCAGCGCTTGTGACGGTAGCATTCGTTGACTTGGATCCCATTCGAGACATCTCTTCAAGAAATCAATAAAGTGAGCATCATCGCAGCCCTTTAGTGCTTGAGTGAATGTTTTTGAGTTTGGAATGCCTCTTGTTTTTCCGTGTCGCGATCGACCGGGGTTCAACACAGTACTGCCATCTGGCAATGTTGTCACTGTACAATATCTAGGGTGGCCTTTGGAACTTATAAAGTTCTTCGCTCGTTTAGATGACTCAATTAGACGCTGTGGTGGCATCCCTAGCAATTCAATAATACAAGCTAGTTGGTCACCTTCATCCTCGCCAGGAAAGATCGGATATCCTGTCAAAAGTTCGGCTAAAATGCAGCCAAAGCTCCACATATCAATAGGCATGCCGTAGCGTGCTCCGAGTATTACCTCGGGCGCTCGGTAAAACCGACTTTGAATATATGTATATATCCTCTGATGTTCGTAGCAACTAGATCCAAAGTCTATGACCTTAATTCCGCTTCTTCCTTGTTGTTTGAGAAGGATGTTTTCAGGTTTTAGGTCACAGTGTATGATGCGATTGCGGTGAAGTGCTTCCAAACACTGAAGAATTGAGTGAGCGAATTTTCGAACCAGTTGTAGGCTAAAACCTTGAAATTTGTTCTTCTTTATAAGTTCATAAAGGTTCATACTTAGCAGCTCAAATGTCATACAAACATGATTTCTAAAATTAAAGTGTTCCAACATGTGAATTATATTGTAATTATTGTCTTTATCTTGCTTGCGTAAATGCTCGAGTATCTTGATCTCCTCTTGCGCTTGTCTGTGAAATCGCTTCTCGTTGCGAACCATTTTTAGAGCTACATGAGTCTGTGTCTTGTGATCATAGGCCTTGACAACTTGTCCAAAGCTTCCCTTGCCAATAATTTTAAGCACTTCATATCTATAGCCTATGTGGTCGTGAGGAACGTGGATGTAAGAGCCTTGGTCGTCGTCGTAGCCACAATTGTTTGCTCCACTCACCACACCCTGTCTTTTCTTCGCATTTGGCCCAACAAAATATATTTGTGGATAATTAAATATCTCATGATGTTCATAGTTAGTTAGTTTATGCATTAGTTGCTTCATTGCTTGATTGGGCGTCATGAAATCGCGAGTTTTCTGTGTCCCAGAGCCGTTACTACGTCGGTCCGCAGAAGATGTGCGTCCTGCTTGAGACGTCGGACGAACAGATGGCAACGCTTGGACTTCAGGTGCGATTTTTCCTTTGTTTTGTTGGTTTGTCTCCTCTTCAAACAGTTGCTGTACTTGGATTCCACCTAAATGTGGTAGGGAGCCATTCGTTACATCGTGAGATTGGTGTTTTAAGTTCGCTTTAGTTGAAGGTTTCAACGGAGGTAAAATTTCAGTGCTTCCTTTCCCTTCCATGAGAAAAGTCTCGCCACCAGTTCGTAACAAAGAACTGGGATCGGAAACCTGTAGATGTGGTYTCCTYTCRGCAGYAGTTATCATAACCCGTAGCTGGAAATGTTTATGATAAACTGGTGCTCTAAAGTTGTAAGTTTGAGTTTAAACTCTTTCTACTTTGCTGTGGTGTTGATCTATTTCTTTTGTCAGGCGCTTTGTGATGTTTTACTGTGCCACGTTGCCAGGTGATCCTCGACCAATCACAATACAAGTTCTCGGCGTCTTGACAACCGCAAACGTAAATAGAAATCGACTCAACCATGACGTCATGAAAATAACAAATCCTGATTGGAGGAAACATCCATATCCTTTGTTTATGTTTCTWATCCATTTTTATTGGTTCCTGAAATGAATTTGCAATTTCAATTGATTTTTCTTTGCCCGACAAATCAAATACATATAATAATGCTAAGTTCTTTCTTTAATGAATAGAAATATGTAAACATATGTCTACAACAAAACCCGATTTTTGCGGCTTCGATGGCTATACCAAATTAAAACATCTAGGTGTCTAGAAAAATCGGCGGGGCTCTGATATCTGATCAAAGTTCGACGCAATCAATTCAGGCACTGTTGCACTTAGCCTCCTTCGCAGGCTACTCCATCAGAAACGGACATTTTTCTCTTCTTGGTCTTCCTGTGTTCATATTCTTGACCGAGAAGAACTGGTGTCGAGAGATTTGCTACCCCCTAGTGACCTGGGAACGAACGTCCTAACGGCTGCGAGAGGAGACTACCTAATAGCGTGAAAACTTGTAAAAGAAAACAGCTGCGCATGCGAGATAAGTTACTGAGAAAATTTCGCTGCAATCTCGTACCCAGAGCCCGCGCRTTACTTTGAGCTTGCGCAGTAATAAGAGGGACAGGGGAGCATGGGTACGACGTTATAACATCACCTGTAAAGTCCTGGCCATTTTGGACGATCTTAAAAATGAATTTAGTGCAGAAAATTAGAAAAAAATGTTTATATATAGCGAACTCTTGTAGTAACTCTTGTAGCGAACTCTTGTAGTTAGGGAGGGAAACTGTTRCAAAGCCGAGGACGGCACGTAAGCTAAAAGAAACTGTCTTACCACAAATTTGTGAACTAAAATGGTGAAACTAGCGGTATACTAGTGTGAGCTGCGTCGGTGTTTTCCAACGACTAAACAGTAGTGTAAAAGATAATGATTTAACACCGCAAAAAAGTTAGTCAGCGTAGCGGCCCTAAACTWAAGTAGGTGAAGCAACCGGCGTATGCAGACCTTCACAGCCTCTCCTTTTGTCGGGCTTCGTCGAAAAGAAACAGTTGTGTAAAAAGCTAGATTTAATACCTTAAAAAAGTACTAGGTAAAGTTCCATCTCTTTGCTCCGACGAAGGATTAACGTCCGAAACGTCAGTAAGTTATTTCACCTACTTTTTTACAGTGTTAAATGTATCTTTTTTTACACAACTGTTTCTTTAGAAAGACCGACGCAGCTCACACTAGTTTACCGCTAGTATCCACCATTTCGTCGGAAAGAGATGATTACTTTAATTGTTTATTTCCGGTTACCATGCCTACCTTGCTCCTATTGGTCTACTTTCAGTTGCTTCTCTCATATAAACTCACACATAGCCTAGCTAGTTTCATCCTTTACTCCGATTCCGATGAAGTATTGAAAGGTCAATAACATGATTCACCTACATTTTTGCAAGTGTTAAATTTATCTTTTTACAGAATTATCTGTGAATTAAGCCCGTCTGTCATACAGAGTAAACGCACTCAAACCATGAAACAACAACAACAAAAACAATTTGTGTAATTCACACTGGAATATAGAATATGTATTATAGCGGACTTGCGAATTTTGCCTCAGTGAAGTTTTGCACTCTCGTGATCACGTGATCTTGTCAAAATCGCCCTTTGATGTGGACCGGGTGTCGCCGGTCTGTTTGTCATGTGCGGACAACAGTATTCTGCATGTTGCATTGATGTTCCGTCTCTATCTGTTTTGACCATGAGGTAATAAGGGCTAGACAAGCAGTTTTTTCTACATAGTGAAATGTTTTTTTGTACGAAATTTGCAGTGGACGGGGTGGGCTTTTTCCTTAGCTTCTAATTTTAGAGATAGCGGTCGTTGATGTCTGGTATATTAAAGTAAAGTGTCAACAAAATGCCAATGAGAAGTATTTCTTTGTAGAATGTCATGTTACAAAAAGTTTTATTTTCAATTTATGGAATGGCGAATATTTGTTTGTCCATTCCGAACATAGAAAATGTTATAATGGAGCTCCTGCGCGGGTATAGGCTGCCCAACTATTGCTTGAGAAAGAAAAGAACGAATGCGCGCAAAAAGCAGGCGCAACTTTCTATTGTTCTGCGGCAATTGCAACTTCCCCACATACGAATGTCTTGGTCTTCACACTGATTGTATATCAACCTATGGGTAACATATTTTTAAAATAAAATGTCAATAAACTCTGTTTTGAAACAAAGTTTCTTTTGTATTAAAAGATCTTGTCCGATCATAAGCAGTCAAAACAATAGCCAAAAAATATGCTTCTAATTTGCTATGTTCCCTTTGGCTACATAGAATTGCTATTATTATTAAAGCTGAAGAAAGCTTTTATAAAGTTGGAATCAGATATCAAATGTTAAAAAATGCGCCATTTACTTTTGAAATTATGTCAAATTTTAATGTTTTAACCAATGAGATGGATGGATTTTACAATACAAAATTAGCACCTTCATGCAGTCCATTGCAGTTTGCTTCCCTGAGTCTTACTTGGACCATTACTTGATTAGAGCGGATTTCGTATGAGTGGGAAACGGACGGTACTGTACTGTAACCGTAATCGTACTGTAACCAAATTCTAGTGCCCCATTGTTTCACCAAAATTCTGCAGGCCAGGTCCGGTAACTGTGCGGTAACGGTGTCCCACTCATATGAAATCCGCTCTATTATGTTATCGCACCGGCGGCGCTCGTAGCAAAATGCGGGTAGCCTGTGGTTACGTCAATGATCCCTTGCCTCGCGGGATCAAAACCTTGTCTGTGACATTAAAACACTGGTAACGTAATACCAATGTGTGCACCAGGCACACATCGGAAAGAGAGCGGGCGAGAAATAGTCGAATAGTCTCTTTTTGTGAAACAATTCTTAATATTTCACAGGTTATTTGAGTTTATTTTAGCTAAAGCGCCTGAAAGAAAGTGGATTCGAGAGATGGTCGAAACTAGTTCTTATCATTTCATAAATTAGACAGAAAATGAGGCATGGAGTGTGGAAAGACACAATCGAATGGGGTTTTGGCATGTAGTACATCTACCAAGTTTCATCTACAAAGTACATTAAAAAAAAAACATGAATTCCATTCACTTTTATTTCAGTTACATGAAAACTTTTCTCAAATGAGCTCTACAATTATCAAATATCAAAAGTTTGCCAATGATGGTTGGTATTATAGCAGCCAAACTAGCTAGAGTGCATGCCATATACCTATAATATATACCTCAATGTGCATTGTTTAATGTCCTACTTAGTTAAAACTAGTTGTCATATTACTAGAGCAGAACAGTGCAAACT